AATGCGTATGATGTCCATCGCGACGAGGTCTTCCTTGTAGGCTTCCACCATTGATAGAGTTAAATCGTCAGATAGGCCAAACTTAGTTATTAGCGCACCCAGGTAGTCTGCCGCACGTGATAGTGCATCATCAACCTTGTTGTGCTCTCCCTTTACATAATCTAGCTTGAAGTCATATTGGTCTATGACTTCGATCCAGCGCGTGAGTGCATCAAAGAGGACAGGTTGAGTCTTGATCCACTCGAGTGTCTGTCGGTTCTCAAGTAGAAAAACCTTCCCAACAGAAAGTGTCTCCAGTGGGCAAGTGTTTTGTAGAGGGCATTGAGTTCCCTTTCGTGGGTGAACTTTGCCAACTTCTTTCATGGCATCTTCTTGCTCGTGTACTCGATCGCCCTCTTGCTCATGTACTCGATCGACTTCAACTTCTTCCCTTCCTGTTGAGCCAGCACCACACCAATGCCATATTGGCTTGCATAGGTGGTCACAATGAATGGCGTTTCAGGATTGGGGACTATGAGAACCTCATGGTGCGCAAGAACATGCTTCAAACGCTCAAAGGCTGCTTCACACTCATTGGTCCATGATGTGTCAAGGCGTGCTAGATCAATCAAAGGGGAGGCAACCATACTATAGTTCTTTACAAAGTTATTGTAGTAGCCACATATCCCTAAGATTGATCTGACCTCGGTCACAGACTGAGGTCGTGGCCAGTCATGTATGCTAGCCACGCTTGCATCTTCCGGCCTAATCCCTTTTGCGGATACCTCATGACCGAAGTACAAGATTTTAGTGCGACCGAACTTCCATTTCTCTAAATTGATCTTATACTTGTGTTGTCATAGGAGTGAAAGTACTGTTTCAGCATGCTCCTCGACGGTTCTACTGAAGATAAGAATGTCGTCGAGGTACACAACGATAAACTTATCCAAGTAGTCTTTAAATATCATATTCATGGCGTGCTGGAATGTGCCCGGCGCATTGCGGAGGCAAAAGGGCATCACCACAAACTCGTATAAACCGTACGTGTTTTGAGAAATGGTTTTGTGTTGGTCCTCTGGTCTAATGGCAATCTGATGGTACTATCAGATTTTAAGTCTTGTCTTTGTAAAGTTCTTACATCCGTGCACCCTATCCAATAGGTCGTCGGTAGAGGCTCTGCGTTTTTAACAGTGATGGCATTGAGGCCTCTATAATCAATGCACATCCTCATGGTCCCCCCCGTTTTGGGACAAACAAGATTGGTGAGCCAAATGGGGCGGTACTAGGCCGAATCCAACCCTTCTCTATGAGCTCTTTCAGTTACCGACGAAGCTCGTCTAACTCGGTTGGAGCCATCCTAAAGATTCTTCCCTTTGGTGTTTTGCTATTTGATGATTTTTA